AAGAGTTCTGCGAATTTATATAAATATTGTGAAAGCAAGTAAAAATCATCCATTAAATTTACATATTCCAGCGTCTCAGATAACAGATATTTACGACATGCACACACACACACACAGACACAGAGAGGTCGTTCCCCAGACAGGTTCTACTGCAAGTGAGCAACCCAAAAATAAACCATATATTCATCCACCCATTTGACCAATAATATCAATATTATTGCTCTGCTCCTGCTGCTCTTTGCTGAACAGACAAATAATAAATAATAAATGTTGAATAATAAACAAAAACAGTATATCAAAATGGCATTTAATGCAGCCTAAAAACACACCAAATATATTGGTCAAAAGACCAAAAACGATGCAAATATGCGACCAAAAGCCCTGCTTACCTTCCCTACCTCTAACACCCGCTGCTCCCCACCAGCTGCTGCTGCTGCCGCTGCTGCTGGTGGTGGTGCAACACGTATTTTGCATATTTCGTAGATGACACCAAAAATTTGTGCTCCTTTCATGCAAAAATAGGCAGAAAATTTGCCACCACCGTGAGGTACAAATAATATTTTTTGAGTGTAAACATTTAAAATGCGATCAAATGTGGCCCACACAGGTCCACAACTTAGTAGCCCCGCCTCCCTTTGCCCCCATGCAGCAGCAGCTACCAAGTGTTACATGTCAATATAAAATACACACACATACATATGTGTGTGATATATATTTTAACAGCCTCCCCCAAAAGTTGGGCAACACTTTGTGAGCATGTTGATGATGCATTTGTAAGCCGCTCTCTGCAATTGTGGGCGAGTGTGTGTGTGTGTGTGTGTTGATGCTTGTGGCTTTGGCCAAAATGCATTTTGCTGTTGGCTGTTTGCTTTTAACCATTAAGCAGGTCGTGCGTGGATCCCGCCACCGCTTGGGCATGGCTCAAACATATGGAATTGTTGTGTGTTTGCAATTTTTGGTATGTCTAAACTCGTGGCCCAACCGAACACGTAACCCAAATTGCAAAATAAACCACACGCGCTCTGCGTTACCGGCGAGGGCAACACGAGCGCGACCAGGTGTACAACTGAATAGACTCAGGGTTCAAGTAGCTCAGACAGAGAGAAATAGTTGCACAGCAGCAACCAGCAGCAGCCACTGTAGAAACCCAATAACAAATAAACCCAAAAGCTGCTAGCCAACATATAAGCTAGAGTTCGACTCTGAATAGGACGAGCACTCGATGCTAAAACAAATGGAGCCAACTTCAAATTTGTGGTCTCTAATCGACTTTGCAATGCTCTGAATAATATTTACAATTCCAACTGGATGTGAAGAGCAAACGAGTCGAAGTGTGGCATAGCAATCATAGAAATTGATATTGGTATGCGTGGAGATTTTTTCCAAATATTATCTGTGGAAATATGAAGTGCTTCATGGTATTCAATATTTACATTTTGATTTTGGTTTCTTGATTCTAAATTTCTTTACTTATTTATTTAGTTATTTATTTTTATATGACATTTACTAGAATATTTGGGTTTCATTTCTGATAGAAACTTTAAGGCCTCTTCGGGGCGAAAATTGATATAAATATATTGATATTTAATAATTTAAGAAATAGTTAGTGTGAACGATGTGATAAAAGATGTTAGTGTAAACTGATGTTAGTGTAAGCTGAATGGAACTATTATTTATAGACGAATGCGGGGATTACGCAAGGGAAGCAGGCGGTCTGTTATGTTATGTTTGGTCTTTTCAGTCTGTATGTAGAAGTATAAAGAGTATCAAAGATAAGTGATTGCCCAAGTGGATTTGGATGAGGTGAGTACGTAGCGTTCTCTTTTATAGAAAAGTCTTGAATTGCGCTGATGACATATTTGAGTTTTAAGTCTATTATGATGCTTCTTGATTATTGAAATTGATTAGCTTTTAAGAGATTAATATTTATAAATAGATTTCGCTCATATTATGCAGTTGCTGCTACTTCGAAATATATTAAAGACATTTAGATATGTATATTAAAGACATATTTAAAATACACAAAAAAATAATAATAATAATAATAAATAAATAAAAAATAAATAAATAAATAAATAAATAAATTTGTACTATGTATAAATACATATTTACTCAATGTTATTTAAATTAATGTCAATGAACATTTCGATTAAATTTATTACTTCTGACTGTAAACATATTTAATACATTCTCTCATTATTGCAATAATTTTTTGACTAATCATTTTTATATAAATATAATATATATCATTAATAAAACTTTGGTTTTTGCGTTAAGAAACTTTTGCAATCTCAATGTTTAATTGAATTAATTCTAGGCAAGGAATTTTTATATAATTATACAATATATATAATTTAATAAAATGAATATTTTAATTCAGAAATACACTCCTACTCCAACTTCAACTTCTATATATATCCCAAAACTTTGTTCCGTAGTCGTACCCTAATTTCGTATTTGGTTAATTTTATTCCATTTCTAGCAAAATTATTCTACTTCATCTAGAGAAAGTACGTACTTCTACTAAATATGCTCCATACAGCAATTACCCTATTCTTTCATGAGCTGAGCACATTACAAGTTTTGAAAACGTTTTTGCTGGAGAATCGAGGGGGCTAATGGAACAGGGGCCGGGCAGAGGGTTGTGCAGTAAAGAAGTGAGCAAAGCAGAGGTAAAACACATTTAAGTAACCATGAAATTTACTTAGAGTTTTCTTCTCATTTGCCCTTTTCCCACTTCTTGTTGCACTAAAGCCAGCGGAATTCGAGTGCGAAGCAAATACAAATAAATGCGCTGAGGTGTGTGGTATACAACACTTAAAAGGCGATAACACGCACACGCACACGCACACAGCGCAGTCAAGTGCTTGCCAAAATGGGGAAGGCAGCGCCAGATAAAGACAAGACAGGAAACAAGCGCATAACTGACCAGGCTGCCAGGCCACATAGACAGAGCAGACAGCATTTAGCAGAGGAGCGAAACGGGTTGCGCGCATATTGTATACGACGTGGTGGGCCAAAAGGGGGAAGCAACAGACAGAGATAAACAAGACACAGCACAGTCATAGCCATGGCCAAAGGGGCCGAAAGTATTCAAATAATAGCTGAGAGATGGACTTAATTCGATTTGGCTGAGACTGATGAAATTTAAGAATTGGTTGTAGATCTTCAGCACGGATTAAATGAAACGCTTTTAGCCAATAATATTGGCTCAATCAATATTTATGTTTTCTCATGCTGTTTGCATGCACATTAAATAGTTTCCACTCGGGAGCCACTTTTAATTGTGGCTAAAAATTGCTCAACGTTTAGGCCGCGCCTTGGCCTAATTAGCGCCCACTCCGGCACGTCCGCGAGCATCAAGTGAAAAGTTAAAAGCAGCAAAGTTTGGCAAGTTTGCCAGCAAAAGGTCGGGCGAGTGACCCTCGTTACTTACCCATTAGGGGCCCCCTCTGCCCCACCGGCTGCGGCGCCATTCAACGACGACGACGACGACGACGACGACGTCATGTCCGCTGAGGTAAGCGCCTCAGTGCCGCTGCGCTCACGCACCAGGCGATCTGTATGTAAACAACAACAACAACAGTTTAGAGAATCTCTTGAATATTCATTTAAAGCCAAAATGTTGCACTCACCCGCTTCCTGGCGTTCCAGCTCCTCGGCCTGCTGGCCGGGCTTGGCTTTCACCTCGATATTAATCTCCGCCGAGCTGAGGCCGGCGTGACACGAATAGATGCCAGCGTCACGGAAGGTGATGTCCAAAATGCGCAGTGCTCCCTTCTTGGACACCTTGAATTTGCGTGAGCGCGCCAAGGGCTTGTGGTCCTTGCTCCACTTGATTTTGGTGCGATTGTAGCGCTTCACCGGGCACTTGATCTTCACTTGGGTGCCAAAGAAGACGACTCCGGCGCCGCCTACCTTCAGTGTGATCTTGGTCTTCTTGGGATCGTGCTGGATGTGGGTCGAGTTGCTGATTTGTATCACGGGCTTGGGATCCTCCGGTGGACAGGGCTTCACGTTGCAGGGCTTCTTGTCCGGCGGCTTGACGCTGGGGCACATCGATTCGGGCCGTTCGATTTTGTGCTCCTGCGCCATAATTTGCTTGCACTCCACTTTGCGATCCTTGATGCCGTAGCCGCAGGTGTGCGAGCACTTCGACCACTCGCCCACCTCCCAGCGCACCGGACAGTCGAGGACATTGCAGTACTGCCGGTCCGCGGGCGGCGGCTGGGGGCACATGCTGTTGGGCACGACCATGGTGTTCTCGCCGCCACGCGTCACCTCATGGATGCACTGCACCTCACGTGTCTTGATGCCAATGCCGCAGCTCTTCGAGCAGGGCGTATAATCCGAGTAGTTCCAGCGCGGCGGGCACGGCCGATCATTGCAGGTGCGCACACGTGCCTCCGGCTTAGTTTCCGGCGAGCAGAGGAACGGCGAGACAACGCGCCCATTATCCTCCCTCACACAGTTGATGATTAGCTCCTCGACGCCGCCCAAGCACGACGCACTGCACGAGGTGTAGCCCTGCTCGCGCCACACATAGGTCTTGCCCGGCTCCGACACGCCCACCTTGATGGAGTCACGCGGATATTGATCGTCGTAGCCAACGGGCAGCGAGCACACCTCCTCCACGCAGCGCTCCGTCTCATCGTGCGGCTTGGTGCCCTCGCACAAGCTATCATTCACCGTGGCCACGGTACGTGAGTATTCCAGAAAGATTTTGCATTTATATGCGCGCCGACGTATGCCCTCGCCGCAGGTAACGCTGCAGGGGGACCACTCGGTGTCCTTGATGAAGCTGCAAGAAAATGTGAAAAATAGAGAAATTTTTTAGAATATGTTAAACAAAATTAAGGGAAATGTAAACTATGTAAATAATTTAAATATAAATTAAAATTTAAGATGAATTGATATTGGAGTTCACTATATTCATTAATTTTATTTAAAATGTTGAGCTATAAATACCTTAGCCTTTCTCAAAATTCAACCTTTCTTTTTATATAGTGTTGATTATATTTATTTTAACCACGCCCAAGGCCTCATTAACTGAATCGTTATTTAAGTTATTATTTATATTTTATACTTTTTTATTTTAACTGCAATGCCTCATAATTGAATAAATATATATTTTAGGTATTTTTCAGACCCTTATATTATCAAACTTTTTTTATTAATTTTAATTTATATAGTTTAATTTTATATAATTTTTGTAAAAAGAAAAATGTTTCTAAATTTTCCTTTTTAATTTGAACAAAAACCAAATTTTACATAGAAATAAAATATTATAAAATTTTGTTAAAAAACATTCGTTAATCCTTTAGTACATATTTATGAATATTTTAAGCAGAATTTCATACATTTTATTAAAAAGATAATTACGTTAAATATATATTTTTAAATTTACTAATTATTTGAAGCTTATGTACTATACTTTAATTTTTTTCAGGCATCCAGTAAAAATATTTAATTATTTAATTATATAAAAAAAAATAATAAAATAAAAATGAAATAAATATGTACTAATTTATATTTACTATATATATTCATACCAAACCGTTGACGTTTATAAATACACAAATATTTCAGGTGATTTATGATAATCTAATATTTACTATAACTTCCGCGCCTAAGACTTTAAGAACTTTGTACATCGCCTCTATTACATGTGATATTCAAATTGCA